CATTCTCCTTTTTCCCTCCTTTCCCCATTCCTGGTCCTCCCCCCTCCCACTCTATCTACCCCCCACACCAGACAAGACCTGTTCTACCCTACTGTTCTCTGATTTTGTTTTTTAAAAAAATGACTTTTTTTTGTATAAGATAGCTACACAGGGAGTTTCCTTGTGACATTTCCATGTATATATGTAACTACTAGGGTCTTATTGGAAGGTCATAGTCCTTTCCTAATTGTGTTGTAGGGCTATGCCAACACTTGTCTCGCCTTCCAATTCTTAGCCTGATGTATTAGTTCATTTATTTATTTACTTCCTATTTTTGGTGGTGCTGGGGATTGAACTCAAGGCCTAGTGGTAAGCCACTGCTCCACCACCTGAGCCACACCCCCAGTCTTTTGCTTTTACTTTGTTTTTCAGATAGTCTCAAGATTTTTCCTGGGTTTAGTACCATAATCTTCCTACCTCCACCTTCCAGGTAACTGGAACTACAGGCATGCACCACCATACCGGGCTTATTTTTTCTTTTTCTTTTTTTTGGCAGCACTGGAAATTGAACTCAGGGCCTCCATTTTGCTAGGCAGATGCCCTACTTCTTGACACAAGGCCCCCAGCAACCCCTCCTCTATTTTTTGTTTTATTTATTTAGTTAGTTATTTTAGTTATTTTTTAGATAGGCTCATGTGATTTTTGCCCAAGACTGGCCTTGAATTGTGATCCTCCTTCCTATGCCTGCCACTTATCTGGGACTCTAGCCATGTGGCACCTCACTCAGCCCTTAGTTCATTTAATTTTGAATGAATAAATGACTATGAATTCAAGCCACACTTTTTTTTTCCAGACAAGTTCTGGAACTCTCAATCCTCCTTCCTCACCTTCCCAAGTGCTGGGATTACTGGTGTGTGTCACCATTCCCAGCTCAGGACACAGTCTTTTGCCTGTTTTACCTCACATCCTCCCTCTGGGAGTTCCACTCTATTAGCTTAAATTATTCTCTTGAAGAACCATTATTTCAATGTCTCTACTTTGGCATCTCTTCTGAGCTTTGTATCTCTAGCTTCTTTCTTCCATCTTCATACAGATGTCCTGCAGCCACCTTAAAAATCTATGTATCTAAAACCAAACTCCTAAAATCACACTTTACTCTTACTTACTATATTATGCCATCATTCTCCCTTTCTCTGAGGCTTGTAACTTTAGAGTCACTCTTTGATCTCCTGAAATGTCTTACCAAATTCTATTTTCTTCCTTTTTTTTTTTTTTTTGGCAGTACTGGGGTTTGAACTCAAGGCCTCACACGTGCTAGGCAGGTGCTCTACCACTTGAGCCCTGCTTTGTGTTGGGTATTTTTGGGATAGGGTCCCATGAACTATTTGCCCCAGCCAGCTTCAAACCATGGTCCTCCTGATCTCTGCCTCCTGAGTAGCTAGGATTATAGACATGAGCCACCAGTACTCGACCTCTTTTTTTGGCAGTACTGAGATTTGAACTCAGGACTTCATGCTTGCTAGGCAGACCCTCCAGCTCTTTTTGCTCTGGTTATTCGGGAGGTAGGGTCTTGCTTTTTGCCCAGGTGGGCCTAGACTGAAATCCTCCTATTTTATGATTCCTGATGTCACTGGGATGACAGACACATGTCACCCCCAGAGTTCTTGGGTGATGGAGTCTCATGAAGTTTTTGCCAGGGCTGGCATGTACCATTGGGGCCTGGATTTTTCATAATCTTTTTTCTTAAAAAGAACATAAAAGGATAGGGTCAGTGGCTCATGTCTGTAATCCAGTACTTGGAAGGCAGAGATCAGAAGGATTGACAGTCAAGGCCAGCCCAAGAAAAAGTTAGTGAAACCCCCCTCCCATCTCAGCCAATCAGTGGTGGTATAGATAAGGAGATCATGATCCGAGGTTGGCCCCAGCAAAAAGTACAAGACCCTATCTGAAAAATGACTAGAGGTATGGTTCAAGTGGTAAAGTTCTTACTGAGCAAGCATGAAGCCCTGAGTTCGATCATCTGTCTGTATGACCAAAAGAAAAAGAACAAATCACTTCATTACAAGCATTCGTTGCATATCGTTTACAAAAACAATCATAAACCATTACCTGTGCATTTACCTGTTAACATTTGTAGTCTTTTCAGACCTGTACTTGAGTGTACACAAATACGTGTCTATTTTCTCTCTAAGGCAGATCGTGAACATGATTCTATTTGGAACCTGGTTTGGTTTGGTTTTGTTTTCACTTGACAATAGGCCATAAGTACTTTCCCATGTCATTAGGTTTTCTTCTACGATATTAGTTCTCATATTGTGGTCCCTGGTGACATCAGCATCACCAAGGAATTTGTAAATGCAAATTCTTGGACACTATCCCAGACCTACTGATTCAGAAACTCCAGAAGTGAGACCATCAAGCTGTGCTGTTTTATTTTGTTTGTTTTAACACAGGGTCTCATTTTGTAGCCTAGGCTGACCTCAAACTCAAGATCCTCCTGTGTCAGCCTCCAGAGTGCTAGGTTTACAGGTGTGTGCCACGACACCAGCTGCAAGCTGTGTTTTAATGGGCCCTGTGAGGTAACCTGATGTGCACAGAAGTTTGAGAACCACTGTTCTATAGCATGACTTTTTAACAGCTGATGAGATTCCATCTAATAGCAATTCTATAATCTACTTAACTATGCTGCTATTGTTGGGGATTGAGGCTATTAATTTTTCAGTATTTAAAAACATTGCAGTGGCAGCTGGGCACCAGTGGCTCATGCCTGCAATCCTAGCTACTCAGGAGGCAGAGATCAAGATAGCGGTTTGAGACCAGCCCAGGCTAATATTTCCAAGGCTGCTAGCTCGAAAATACCCAACACATAAAAGATCTGGCAGACTGGCCCAAGTGGTAGAGCACACACCTAGCAAGCATGAGGCCTTGAGCTCAAAGTCCAGCACTGCAAAAACAGCAATAAAAAAAACACCACTGTAATGAATACTGTTAAACTTTGAAAATATCCATAGGAGGAAATAAACTATTTTATTTAGGCCATTGTATTTAGGGGTCCTTTTACCCTGATATACCTTCTCTTCATCCTCCCCTTTTTTTCAGTGTTGTAGATTCAACCCAGGGCCTGTGCATGCTCACATGCTAGGACCCTGCCACTAAGCTACATCCCCAGACCTCCACATACACCCTTTTTTTTTTTTTTTTAACTTTTTTTGTGGTTCTTAGACTCAAACTCAGGGTTTTTTTTTCTATCACTGAGGTACTCCCCTAGCTCCCTAATATGCTTTATTTACCTTGAATTTACAGTAGACTTCTAAACCAGATCTCCCACACTTATAATTCAGTATACTCAATATTGACTTACTAATCAGTCTTAGACTCATTTTGCACAAATATCATCACCCTCCTTTGCTCAAAAACTACTATCCATTCATCCATGCACTCATTATTTCAAATCCTATGCTAAGTATGTCTCAGTCATTGTCCTGTGTGCTAGTGACACAAGAATAAAAATATAGACAACCATTGCCTTTGTGTACCTTTGAAGTCCAGTTGAAGATCTTGACAAGACTGACACAAATAAATATAAAGTAACAACTTTGAAAATTGTTATAAGTAAAAGGAGCATGGTACTAGGAGAAATATACAGAAGGGTTTGATTTAGTTATAGAAGTCAAGGCAGGCCTCTCTAAGGTAGTGCTGATCTGAGGTATGAAGATTAATCAGACATTTATTTACAAGAGGTGATTGTTCCACACAGGGAGGGAAAAGACTGCAGAAGGAGAGAACATGGAGCATGTGAGGAGGTGACAGAAAAGGATGGGTGGAACAAAGAGTGTGGGGGTTAACAGTAGATGAGTTTTAGAGATAGGTAGTGCTAGGTCTCATAGGGTCTTATAAGCCATGTTAAGAAATTTTAACTTAGCCAAGCACCAGTGGCTCATGACTAATCCTAGCTACTAGGCAGGCAGCGATTAGGAGGATTGCAGCTTAAGTCCAGCCCAGGTAAAGTTCTCGAGACCCTATCTCAAAAAATACCCAACACAAAACAGGGCTTGTGGAGTGGCTCAAGTGGGAGAGTACCTGCCTAGCAAGCATGAGTTCAAACGCAGTGAGCATTGAGAAGTCGTTAAAAAGTTTGTGTTTAGGAGTGGCATAATAATGAAATATTTGCATAGATGGAATCATTCATTCCTTCTACTCTTAGACTTCTCTTCTCTTTCTATATTTTCCCCTGGGCAAGTTTCCAACTTTCTTTGTGTGTGTGTGTGTGTGTGTGTGTGTGTTACTGGGGTTTGAACTCAGGATCTCACACTTGCTAGGCAGGTGATCTATCACTTGAGCCACATCCCTATCCCTCAATTATCAAATTTTAAGTCATGAAGAACTGCACAAAGACAACTGATAATGGCTGGGTGTGGTGGCACACATCGGTAGCCCCAGCTACCGTGGAGCTCTGAGACCCCAGAGCTGGAAGCCAGATGGGCAACACAGTAATACCCCTCAAGAAGAAAGGAGCAGGAAGAGGAGGAGAAGTAGAAAGAGGAGAGGGGGAAGGAGGGTTTAACCCACTACTGTGTTGTAAAGGATTGCATCCCATCAGTTCACATGCATCTATACTGGTACTTTAGCCCCACTGGAAGCCCATTCCAGACCTGCCTTGGCTGAACATTCTGCCTCTGGAACTCTCATAGGCTAACAGTTAGGTCTTCCTTGGTGTTCAAGTCCCATAACAATTTTATCTTTATGTACCTTTTCAACATTTTTTCCTATTGCACCTCCTAAGATGAAACTTTCAAATAAAGTGCCCTTAAGATAAGATACCTTAGCCTGGCACTGGTGGCTCATGCCTGTAATCCTAGTTACTCAGGAGGCAGAGATCAGGAGGATCACAGTTCGAAACCAGCCCAGGCAAATAGATCATGAGACCCTATCTCGAAAAAACTCATCACAAAAGAGGGCTGGTGGAGTGGCTCAAGGTGTAGGCCCTGAGTTCAAGCCTAGCACTGCAAAAAAAAAAGAAAAGTTATGTATTTTGCTTAGAATACATATTGCCCTCTGCCTACATAGCATCATTGGATGTATTTTCTGTCCATCACCAGTTGTTTAAATCCTACTACTTTTCTAGGGCCTCTCCCTATTTCCCTTCTTCCATGAAGATTGCTGTGGTAGCTATGAGAATGCACCTCTCACATTTTTGACTTCAGAGAGCATTACTGACTGGGTGACCCATGCTTCCCATGGACTGTTCCCAGCTAATGGTTGAGCATGGCAGAGATACTAAGGCATCCATTCCTGGGCCAGATTGCTGTGACAAGTGACTTTGGCTTCAGAAATTCCAAATGGTCTTGTCAAACTTTCCTTAGAACTGCAATGGGGTATAAGATCCTTCTGTCTTATCTTTCTTCCTTCACTCTGGGTCAATATTGCTTGCATTGGAGTCTGATGGCTTTCTCAGCCTCCTCCATTTGCCTCCCTATTTTATCTCTCAAGCACTTCCTCTAATACATTTCTTGTACATTAATTCTGTCTTTCATTCACTCCTCAGGGTCCCAGACCAACACAAGTGGTACCAGGACTAATCCAAGAAAACAGGAGGTAGGATGGAAATTTGCACTGGTTCCCTCACTGCCCAGCAGGCTAAAAGGGTGCCATCCTGGGTAGTAGATGAGGCATCAATAATCCTTGGCACAAAGTGGCTAAAAATTTTACCAGTGTAGACCTGGAAAAGTGTCCCAGGGAGGGAATGCTTGCGCAAATGTGCCAATACAGGCACTTGAAAAAATGGGGGATAACTTCTGTAAAGGTAGTAAAGTTGGGTAGTTACTACTCAGTTGTATTGATACTCTTTACAGAGATTATTGGAGACCTAGGGTGGATAACAAGTAGATTTGGTTAAGTGAGAGAGCCATAGGTCTTTTGCGGCCGCTTACAAAGAAACCCTTATCTCTGGAAGGGGGAGGGAATACACAGAGAGTGGCAGACAGAAGACCTAATTGTTAGAGTGTCAGCACTCCAGAGATGTTAGAATGTTCAGCCAAGGTAGATCTGGAATGGCCTTCCAACGGCACTAAAAATACCAGTATAGAAACAGTATTATAAATGGATGAGGTGTTGTCCTTTAAAACAGTGTTTGTATTCAATCAGAAACCTCCATATGGTGCTGTGTACTCAGGAGGAAGAATACAGGGCTCTGGGAAGCAAAGAATAGAAGGATGAGTGACCTTACTTGCTATAACACCCAGTGCCCACTTAAATTTTGTGCTTACTGTTTGTGCAACTCAAGCTTTCAGGGTTGGAGGTCCTGGTATCTATTGAGAACACATTCTTACCAGGGAATATCCAAGGACCCCACTGAACTACAAACTATAGCTGCTGTGAGGGCACTTTGAACTCCTTGTGTATAGAGACCAACAGGCAAAAGGAGCAATCACCATAGTGACAGAGCTAATTCACCCTGATCAGCAAAAGGGCTGCTGTTACACCATGGGGACAGGGGGGAATACAGTTGAAAGCCAGGTGATCTAGTTGGGTGTTTCTTGGTATTCTCTTCTCTGTTGTAATGGGAATGGACATACAAAGTAATTCTAGCCTGAGGAAGGTATGGTAGCTCTTCTGGTTCAGACCCTTACAGAATGAAAGTTTGTGTCTCATCACCAAGTAAGCCATCAAGACCTTTGCCAAGGTGAAGGGACTTGAGAATGGACAGTAGAGGAAGGAGAGGATGTATACTCGGAGATGAACTGCAGTGATAGAGTGTGTATTTCCTTCCACTGATGTCTCTCTTCTGAGTTTGCCCTTAGGAACAAAGGCCCACAGAAATCATGGAGAAGCTGCTCCCTAAACTTACGGAGGTAGATCTATGCACAGTGTACAAAGGGCACACTGTGGTGACCATGAATGCATGCATCTTTCAGTCTCCGACTGCAAGGAGTGTAATTGAAAAATGGCCCCAACTTCTGCTTTCTGAAATCCATGACCGGATCCACTCTGAGGCTGTGCTTCAGGAAGGCTCCTCCAAACCAATGACTGGGAGGGGAGTCATGGGGATGACTTTGCTGCAGGACTCCCTTATGGTCTTGCTCCAGTTTCCTTAGCCTGCTCTGCAGTATAAGACAATTTCCCTAGCCTGCCTTCCACCCTTTCCTCCTCCTCTTCAGATCAGATTTCCTTTACAGTCACAGCTTCCCCACCTCCTTCCACATTTCCTGCTATAGGCATTTTCCCTAATACATTCTACCTCCACATTTAATCCTGTCTGGCATCATTTTCTTGGCAGACCTAGACTACTAAACACCTGCCATAAGCCCCCATAAGCTTCCTACTCTGAACTTATATAGCCCTCCTCCCAACCTCCGCACTTGACACTTTCCAAATGCTGCCTACAAAGTAAAGTTTTTCTTCTCTCTTTTTTTTTTTTTTTGATGGGACTGGGGTTTGAACTCAGGGCTTTGTGCTTGCAAAGCAGGAGCTCTACCACTTGAGCCACACATCCGCATGGGGTCTCAAGGACCATTTGCCCAGGCTGGTCTCAAACTGTGATCCTCCTGATCTCAGCCTCCCAAGTAGCTAGGATTACAGGTGCCTGGTGAGGTTTACCTTTCTATGTGTACATATCCCCAGTTAGTTTCAATGTTTCTTGGTGATAGTTACTAGTATATCACTCTTACCTAGTTGCATACTTCACCCAGTGTTCTATCTGTAGAAGGAGCTCAGCTTTATCACCACAGGAGACTCTCAGAACTTGTCTCCTTCCTCTCAGGGTCCTTTAATACTCAGTACGCTGGCCCCGCTCCCCATACATGTTGCCATATACACCTAAAGAAGGTGTGGAATAGGCAGCCATTGTCAACTGAAAGTTTTTAGTATCTCTTCTGTTTTGTAGAGCTGTTGCTGGAAAGTGGCTGGCTAGCCAGCTGGGGTCTTTAATAAGCTGGGCATTGTGTCCACTTGTCTTCTTCCCCATTTTCCAGTGGAATCCAGAGGTCTCTAGGAATGGTGGATGAAAGAAGCCTGATCCTTGAACCACCATGCCAAGAAAACTGCCCACCATATAGAAGAATATCTACCCTAGAATGGTACATGAATGAACAATAAGCTTCTATTATGTTAGGTTGCTGAAACTTTGGGGTTTGTTACAGTTGCTAGCATTTTTCTAAATAACACAGAGGTCATTTGGCCTTTTCTTGGCTACTCTTCATTTCAACTCCCTTCTATTTATAGGAAGTCTCTCATTTCTGGAACTCTTGGTGCCAGATGGACTAGATCTTTCTCATGCATGTGAGCATGTTACTTAGCCTCTGCTACTATGATGTTCTCAGTCAGGACTATAAATTGGAACAATATAAAGATACAAGACAATATGAAAACCTTTCACAGTGGTGGACTGGTCTGAACACTCCAGGGGTAGTGACAGCAAGGTCTGTCAATAGTTAGTCAATGTCATAACCATACTGTTCTGTGACATATTCTTTACTGTGATTTCCTGCTTCTAGATTATCTTTCTTTTAAAAAAATTTTCTCCAGTCTTCTTGATGATTTCTTCTTTCCAATAATTAATTTTCTTCTCTAGGTATCCAGAATTCCCATTTATATTCTCCTTCCCATTCACACTGGCTACTCCTCCAACACTAGAGTCAATGAGAGTATCATTTATTAAGCACTTGGCATGTACCCACTTCTTTACATACGTTATTTCACTTTAATTCAACCTTTCAACTATTCAGTAGGGTCAGTATCATTACTGCCATTTTTTAGGAGAGATTTTTTTATTGTTTCCTTCAGACCATGGTAAATGTTCCCAAATATAGAGGTACAAAATTGACAACATGGTGGGACCCTCTGATTGCCTAATAGCAAACAATTTGTCTTAATAGTTATTAGTGTGATATCTGTATGTCTTTTTTTGCATTTTAATATTTATTACCTTTATAAAATTAGGATATGTTTGTTGTACAGGGGTGATTCATTGTGACAATTCCACATAGGCTTATATTGTACATTGGTTAGATCAATATTTCTCTCCCTCAACCCCCCTCCCTGCCCCACTTAAAACAATTGCAAGATTCCTTTGTTCTATTTCATATAAGTATATGAAGTCTATCAACCATATTCCCGCACCTTAATCTCCATAGTTAACCTTCCTCCCTTCCACAAGTACCCATACACATACCATCCTATTTTACAGTCCTGTCTTTTGTTATTAATACCTAAGTTGATGACCAAAGGGGTTTCTCTATGTATCCCTGCTGTGAGTGTACTTTGGTCCATTCAACCCCTTCTATTACTCTCCCTTACCCCTTTTCCTCCCACCCCCAATTTTTGAACAGCTTTCAATACATATCCTTATGTCCTCTACCTTCACAGATGTTTTATGATAGTACTGATGCTCATTTTCTTTTCCTTTCTCTCCTTCCCCGAGTTCCACAGAGTTGTGCTATTACAAACATGTTCTGTGTATGTGTTTGTATAGCATCATTTCATTTTAGTGTGTATGTTTAACTTCTGAATCTATCTTCCATGTATGAGAGAAAACATCTGGCCTGTTTTTCTGAACCTGGCTTACTTCACTTAACAAGATGTCCTCCTATTGCATCCATTCACCTTCAAACCACATGATGTCATCATTATTTCCATTTTACAAATGGGAAAAATGCACCTCAAAGAGATTTACTGATGTGCCCAATCACACTGCTTGTCAGTGTCACCTGGACTTTAGTTTTAATGGCACCAAAGCATGTTCTCCATTGTATCAGAAAACCCTTCACTAACTCACAGTGACTGCAGTGCTTGTTTCTAGGGCCCTTTCTGGCCTGTGACTGACTTTGGAAGTCAGGAATGTATAAATATTTACTTAACCCTTACCTACATATAAAAAGGGTGGTAAGGAAAGTTCTGTTGTTGCATTTGTTTTCCAATCCCTCAGCAGAATGTGGTTTTCTTTTCACTTTTTCTTTCCTTCCCCCTGTCTTCTCTGACTCTTTTTTTTCCAGCAGTACTTGGATTGAACTGAGGGCTTTGTGCTGGTTAGGTGGGCACTCTACCATTTGAGCCATGCCCCAACCTTTTTTGCTTTGGTTATTTTTAAGATGGGGTCTTGAATTTTTTCTCAGGTTAGTCATCCTTCTATTTATGCTTCACGCATAGCTGGGATGACCAGCATGCACCACTGTGCCTAGCTATTTGTAGAGATGGGGTTTCACAAACTCTTTGCCTGGGCCTCAAATTGTGATCCTCCAGATCTCTGCCTCCCAAGTAGCTAGTATTACAGATATGAGCCTCCACACCTGACTTTCCTTTTTCTTTCTTTCTTTCTTCTCTCTCTCTCCCTTCCCCCTCTCCTTCCTTTCCTCCCTCCCTTTCTTTTTTTCAACAACAAACCATGCACAGTATCACATGGGAAAGTGATGACTTCATTTCTCTTGCTGATGACCCTTGGAGTGTACTGCCAACTAAGAATGCTTCTTTTCAACCTTACTTCTTTTGCTCATTAGCTCAGGGTCACACTTGCACCAATCATAAGGCTGAAATTTTGGAAGAGTTGGATGGGATGAACATTCTAATGAAAAGAAATTCTCTTTATTACTTTTGATGCTCCC